TAAGAAATGACATAGAGCTAGGAGGTAGAGATTAAACATTTGTTCAGTAAGAAAGACTTCTTCTTTCATAATTGTCATGACAGTGAAAGGTACTCTCTTTTATAAACCAGCTAGGCTTGTTGCAGCTGTCAAATGTGATGGAAAGGTGGTGTTTTGTTGTTTTGACAAAGTAGGTACATATAGGATCATCTAATTTTTGTGCTTTTCTGACATGTACAATTAGGCCACTTTGGTGCATTTGATTCCTTAGATCTTGGTTAGGGGATTTTATACAATTTTTCAGTTAGGACTGTTCAGTGCGTTGGTTAGATGTTATCCTGCTATTTTTATTTTGATTTCTTGCCCTGCAAATTTCCTTTTGGAGGTGTTTGTAGCTCTCTCTTATCCAATATAGTTGATTAATTGTTGTGAAAGGGTTATAATCTTGTGACTTCATAGAGAGTGGTGGTGAAGCCTATATTGGAAAAACTTTCTCAAGCAGACAATAATAACTAATTATGTTCAGTTTAATTATAGATGTGCCTTGGCCAAAGAATTTAGAATGTGAGAAATAACTGCTTACTAATAGGTGGTATATAATGGTTGATTAGTGTTTGGAGTTCCCTTGCTCCCTCTCTTCTTCTCTCTTTCCCTTCCTCCCTCCCTCCATTTCTTCTCTTTTTTATTTTAAGTACTGTAGTAAGTAATTCTAAGTACCTAAATTAAATGTTGGCTTTTAACCATTTATGTGGCAGAGGATCCTATTACCATGTAGGGATTAATTTATTATGAGTAATTAGTGAGGGTTCTATTGTTAACAATGGCCAACAATAATATAATGTGAACTGAGAAATATTTATCAGTTTGTGTCATAAACGGGCTTTAAAATACTTTTGTGTATCATTCTTGATTTAAATATCTGAATTGAGTTTTGTCATCAATATACTAAAGATGCCTACTTTAAAAATTTTGCTAATTTCTTATTTTGTTCCTATACAGGATTTATATTTGTTAATTATATGGTTCTTATTTACATATGTATTTAACAACTATTTTCATATCAATTATGTTAGTCATATTAGGGTATTAGACCTGGGTGTGTTTAGTAAGTTTAGCAAGAAATTGGTATTGAATGGTGGATAATTGGTTGCAATGTGCTTCTGATAATCTTTAAGAAGCACCGTATTTTACATTATTTTTATCAGACCAAACTTTCTGGTGGACAGTAATGAATTGATAAATGATTATTTCAAGTTTAATCAAGAATGACCAATTTTTATCTTATTTTCATCAGAAGATATGACATGACATGTGATTCTATTAATGAATTTTACATAGAAAATGGGTCTCTTGATGCAGAGTTGGGAGTATACTCAAATAGTTCAGGCTTTGACTGGATAGTTCTTAATAAACATTGGGCTATCAGGATATGTGACTCAGGCTTCAGCTGGCCCTATTGAATTCGGTGACCTTGAACAATCTTCTTGACCTCTCTAGGTGTCAATTTCTTCATTTATGAAATAAATATGTTGGTATAGCTTACCTTTAAGTCTTTTCTTGTTTTAAAAGTATGTTGTTTTATTTAAGGTGAGGACATTTTCTGAATCTTCCCTTTCTAATGATAGTTTTGGGTTTGACATTTGAAAAAGTTATCATTGTGGTCAAATTTCGCTTTGACTACTTTGAAGATAGGTTGAAATGCTTGGTTCTATATTCTTGAAATAAAAATTTCAGGCTACGCCGGGACCAGTTTGGCTCAGTGGATAGAGTGTCGGCCTGCGGACTGAAAGGTCCCGGGTTCGATTCCAGTCAAGGGCATGTACCTTGGTTTGTGGGCACATCCCTAGTGGGGGGTGTGCAGGAGGCAGCTGGTCGGTGTTTCTCTCTCATCAAAGTTTCTAACTCTCTGTCCCTCTCAATTCCTCTCTGTGTAAAATCAATAAAATATATTTAAAAAAATTTCAGGCTACGTATAATTATTTGGTTATTTCTGTGGATTTTTTTTTTTTGGGGGGGTGAGTAACTGGGCAGTCTGGTGTGTACAATTTGTTTGTATGAATGCTGCCAGTAATTTTGAAGTAAGCAAAGGGGAATTAATTGTTCTAGATTTAGCATACTATATCATAGAATAAATAGCATTAGAAACATTGGGAGGGTTTTTAAAAAAATGATTTAATCTCACTCCCTCTTTTAACAGATTAAAAATGTATAAAATACTTGTTAATTTATATGGATTGATATAAATTATATTGAGTACATTGACCATAATCTCACTTATTGACTCAACAAATGTGTATGTGAACTAGCCTCTTTTTTGAAGACAAGGTCTTTTTTTTAATTATTATTATTGATTTTTCACAGAGAGGAAGGGAGAGAGATAGAGAGCTAGCAACATTGATGAGAGAGAAACATCAACCAGCTGCCTCTTGCACACCTACCGGGGATGTGCCCGCAACCAATGTATATGCCATTGAGACCGGAATCGAACCTGGGACCTTTCAGTCCGCAGACCGACGCTCTACCGCTGAGCCAAACTGGTTTCGGCTGAAGACTAAGTCTTAAATACACTTCTAACATTTTTTATTATGATGTTAAATAACTGTCTCTTTGATAAAGAATGAAATACCTTTCTCACTTTTCAAATATTTTGGCCTTACATTTTTTTATGCAGTCCTTTTTTTAATGAGCTGACATTATATAAAAGGCACCATTTGACTACATATATTTAATGGAAGTAAAATTTCATCTTCCTAAATTGAACTTAATGTCAGAATTTGAAATCTCTCTAGTGTCTGTTTTTTCCTCACTTTTTTAATATGTACTTAAAATGTACTTACAATGATTTGAGGAAAAGCAATGACAACAGATGAAGGGACTTAGAAGGAGAATGGTATAGCTTTGGCCTGTAGGAAAGATTATATGAAATAACCCAACCAAGATGGCTGTAGCCATGGAGAGAGCAGGAGGGAGGCTTGGGTTTCCCCAGTGATAGAAGCAGTAAAGCTTTCTGCACACCCTGGCCAGCCCAGGCCTCTACTCCAGGCTACAAAGCTTCAATTTTAGAAGATAAATAAATTCCCCCCAAAATGGCTTCCACCTCAGAGTGAGCAGAAGGCTTGGTTCCACAATTGTAGAAGATAAATAAATCCAGATACCAGGGCCTCCACTTGGGTCATTGGGGGGCATGGCCAGCCCCTCACCCAGGCTTCCCCATGCCCCAAGGGAACTCCCACCCTAATCTGTGACATCCTTCAGGGCAAACCAGCTGGCCCCCACCCATGCACCGGGCCTCTATCCTATCTAATAAAAGAGTAATATGCAGATTGGCCATCACTCCAACACACAAGCTGGCTGCCCCCATGTGGTCAAAGACGACTTCCCCCCTATGGACACAAGATGGCCACCACAAGATGGCCAGCAAGGGAGGATAGTTGGGAGGGATCAGTCCTGCAAGGGAGGGCAGTTGAGGGCAAACAAGCCTACAGGGGAGGGCAGTTAGAGGTGACCAGGCTGGCAGAGGAGGGAAGTTGGGGGAGACCAGGCCTACAGGGAAGGGCAATTGGGGATGGGGGACCCAGGCCTGCAGGGGAAAGCAGTTGTGGGGGACCAGGTCTGCAGGGGAGGGCAGTTAGGAGTGACCAGGCCTGCAGGGGATGGCAGTTAGGGGCAAAAGGCTGACAGGGAAGAAGTTAGGCATCAATCAGGCCGGCAGGGGAGTGGTTAGAGGTTGATCAGGATGACAGGGAGAAGCGGTTAGGGGCAATCAGGAAGGCAGGCAGGCGAGCAGTTGGGAGCCAGCAGTTCTGGATTGTGAGAGGGGTCCCATATTGGAGAGGGTGCTGGCTTGGCTGAGGGACATACACCCCCATGCACAAATTTTGTACAACTGGCTTCTAATATGTGTGTGTGTGTGTGTGTGTGTGTGTGTGTGTGTATTTAACAACAGAAATGGGAGCCCTAGAATTCTGATGCTAGGAAAGTTGTTCAGCCCCATTTCACTTCTTATCCAGCAACCTTGAACTAAGAGTAGACTGGGGCATGGGTAAGAGAAAAGGATAGTGATGCAACTGATCCTTTAACCATTTGAGGAACAGAATAAATTAGAAGTATTATACAATGGTTCAGAAATGAGAAAATATAACAATTATATAAAAAGAGTTTTAGGAGGGGGCAGATAGTTTTTAGAGGGAGACAGTTGTTGGTACAGGGGAATATCTATAGTACTTTCACCAATAAAGATAAATTTAAAAAAAGAGGTGCCTGACAGTCACAAAAATAAATAAAATAAAAAATTCTAAAAGGAGGACTAAGTTTGAAATCACAATAGAGTGAATATAATACTATAGAAAAAAATAAAAAGGATTGCCAAGGTAAACTGAAAAATATCAAATAATGGAGGAAGGATTTGAGAGGAATAATTACAAAAACAAAAGAAAACAAGGAAAACTGATCCAATATATAGATAAATGTAGTTCCTGAAAAATAAAATCAAAGATGTGAAGCAGAGCTATATAAAAAAATTCAATAAACTTTCATTAAATGGCTAGGACCCTTATAATTTAGAAGTGTTACATGGTTTCCCATGAAAATAGACCCAGACAGTCAATTATGAGACATATTCTATTGGCTTTAAAAAACATCTCAGAAACCTAGAAATTCAATGACTTTGCTTTTTGATTTGCCCAGGACAGTCAGTAATATTTATGTCAATTATTCCAGTGTAATTAACCCCTATTACTCTCAAAAAGTGACATAATTAGGAACATAAATTATATAATATACTTAAATATCAAGTAGAGAAAATTAAATCCATATCAGACCTTTAAAAACGTACTAAAAAATGATATAATTAGATACTCAAGAAAATCTGAATGCTTTTAAACAAAAATTTAAAAAAAAGCTTTTTACCTGTAACATTTCATTTTCACAAGCCACTCAATTACTCATGGATGCAAAAGTCAATGGTTTTATTGTTTGTAAACAAAAGAACTTACCATGGTTTACTTTTTCTTCTTCTTCAGGAAAAACATAAACAAGAATTGGAAGATATGAGGAAAGCTGGTCATGAAGCCCTCAGCATTATTGTGGATGAATATAAGGTAAATATAAGGTAGAGGATTGAGAGTATTTTATTTATTATTTTCTTTTCCAAATTATTACTATTTTTTTTGTTAATCCTCACCATAGGATATTTCTTCATTGATTTTTAGAGAGAGTGAAAGAGAGATGGGGGTCAGGGAAGGAGAGAGAGAGAGAGAGAGAGAGACAGAGAATATTTGCCTAGCACGAGGCCTGGACCAGGGCCTGGACCAGGGCCTGGGGAAGAAATCTGCAACCCAGGTATGTGTTCTTGATTGGGAATCAGACCCACGGGCCTGCCTTCTAATCATCGAGTAACACTAGCCAGTACTCTTTATTCTTTTAAACTTTGGCAAATTTTAGTAAAAAAAAAAATTATAATAGACATATTCTACACAATTATAGAATATAGTGTAGTCTTATTTTGTATAGAATTACTTTCAAGTGATCAATGAATTGTCTATTTAAAGCATACTTGGTAATACCAGATGTTGTTTAAGGAGTTACAGAATATTTGAGAATATAGGATTGGCAGAGGGAGGTTCAAAAATAATACTACAGAATTAAATATTGGAATACATTATGGTTCTATTTCTTATAGAGAAAGAAGGTATAATATAAACCTGAAAAATATAGTTATACATTTTTATTTTCCTAAATAAATAGATTTCAATACATTTAAGTAATGACAGAAATTATAAATGTCAACATCAGTATAATTCTTTTGCTTTAATGTCTGTGTAAGCTTAATCATTTGAAGGAAATTGAGTGTTTAATGACAAAAATATTTTTTCTAACATTTTATGTCAGATCTTTTTGCCCATAAGTAAAAAAGGGATATAATCTTGTTTAAATTACATTTAATAATTCTCCCAGAGATAATCACTATTAGTTGTTTGATGTGCATACTTCTAGAGGCATGATTTCTCTCTCTTTCTCTCATAAATATATCTCCTTTATAATAAAAGGCTTATATGCAAATTGTCTCCTGGACTAGGAGTTAGACCAGGAGTGTGACCAGAAATTCGACCAGGGGGCAAGGTCAGCTGGCCAATCACCCCCAATCCCTCTCCCCAGCCAGCCTGGCTTGATCGTCCCTGATTGGGCGGGCTTGCTGGACCCCACCGGTGCACAAATTCATACACCAGACCTCTAACGTGTGTGTGTGTGTGTGTGTGTGTGTGTGTGTGTGTGTGTGTGATAGCACCTATCACTATATATACATTAGAGGCCCAGTGAATGAAATTCGTGCATGTTGTGGGGAGCGTGTCCCTCAGCCCAGCCTTCACCCATCCCTCTTCACAATCCAGGACTGCTGGCTCCTAACCACTCACCTGCCTACCTGCCTGATCACCCCCAACTGCCTCTGCCTGCCTGACGGATCGTCCCCAACTGCCCTCCCCTACTGGCCTGATGGCCCCCAACTGCCCTCCCCTGCTGGCTGATTGCTCCTAACTGCTTGCTCCCCTGCCAGCCTGATCGCCCCTAACCACCTCTGTCTCAGCCCCCATCACTGTGGCTTAGCTTGGAAGGAAGTCGGAATTGTCGACTAGGTCTAATTAGCACATTACCCTTTTATTATTATAGATACACACATATACACACACCTATATTATGCTATGTAATCTTGATTTGATTTTACAAAAATATTTTTCTACTCAATCTTTTTTTGGAGATTTTTTTTATCTCTATTTACTCAGTATAACTTAGAGTTATTTTTCATGTTAGTTTATATATACTTAATTTTTGTAACTGTTCTATAGTATTCGACAGTATATAGATATTATAATTGATTTGACTATACCTTTATATATATGATTTTAGGTTTGTTTTACACCAATTTTTTTAAGTCCTTTTACTAAATGTGGAATATAGAAATATTTTGTTGATTAAACTTTATCCATAGACTTGATAGAAGTTAATGCCATTTTAGTTAATTGGTAATTTAATGTTTAAAAGATTTCAAAATGACTGATCCAAAAGTCATTTGGGTAAAAGTAGAAAAAGAAAAAGATCTAAAATCACTTTTAGTGAAAAGCTTTCCTCTTCAAAAAGGTGTCTGATATATAGGTCTTGTGACATGAAAAAGCATTTTTTTCAACTATGTCCAATATAGAAACTGGTGCCATTGTTGAGAAGGTCATTAAGAAATGTCTGGTTTTTACAGCAGTGATTATTGGCTTTTTTTTTGTAATGTGACTTTTTGGTTCTGCTAATGTAAGCCAGCTTCAGTTATTGAGTTGGGGAAAAGTATAGGCTCTATTTTTTAAACCTTTTTTCCCCCTAAGGCTAATGGGAATTATTAAAATATAGGAATTTACATAGTTCTCCTGAAATATTAAGTATTCTTGGTTAATTTATATTTTACTTTTTATTTATGAATTTTAAATTAAATCTTTTGAAAGTATTTACATTGTATTTATATGTATGTTTCTGAACAGCTCGGTATTTAATACATATATTAAATCCTTTTTTGGTTGTAGCTTCATATATTTCCTTTGTTGAAAACATTTTTATTATGTATTATTTTCAACACTACCAGTTTATGTGCTTAAAATCATATGTTAAAACTTTGTAAATATATTTTGCAAATTGTACTTTGAAGAAATTTTGTTGTGAGCTACCCATTTTATCTCTTCTTTGTCTAATATCATTATTTGTCACTCATTTAAAAATAGAGGATTTAAAAGTATCAGGCAATATGTATTATGATTTGCTGAAAAAGATTAGGAATTAAATTAGATAGCCTCCAAAGTTATATTTCATTTGTCATATTATTTTTATAGTCAGTTAATATGCAAAATAGTTTAATTCTTTTATAATAAGGAACTTTGATATAAATACATTTTATATAGCTTTAGATATTGATTTAGTGATAAGCTTTACATTTGGTTCTATCTATCTATCCATCTATCTATCTATCTATCTATCTATCATCTATCTATCTATCTATCTATAAATATATAGCTAAGCAACTATCCAACTGGCCTGTAGTTATGATGTGCACTGACCACCAGGGGACAGATGCTCAAAGCAGGAGCTGCTGAGCTGTGGTGACTTGGCAGAGGTGGTTCTCAGGCAATGCACCCAGAACCAGAGAGGAGGGAGCACAGTTCTACCTTCAGCCATAGGTTATGTTATTGCTGGGGCACTGTCAGCCTCAAATCTGGTTTACTGCACATTTGCATTTGCATTCCACAGCCTGTACCACAGCAACTTTGCAGAGTTCCCTCTCGCATTTGGGACCCCTCGGGGGTTGTCGGAGAGCTGGTTTTGGCCTGATCCCTTCAGGCCAGGCCTAGGGACCCCACCTGCCAGAGGGACCCCACTCACTCCCCAGACATCTTTTGGGCCTTGGCATCACCCCAGGTGAGGCCGGCCATGGAGGGACCATGTGAGGGTGGATTCAGGGCATATCTGGCCTGTCTTGCATAGTCCCACCTGGCTGGCCACCATCTGATTAATTTCCTTTCAATGTGCACGAATCCGTGCACCAGGGTACTGATTAATTATAATACTCTAAGGAGGAATAACATCTAATATGTTAATTGTCACATAAAATTTTATAATCTTGGTGATCTAAAAACACACTGATTATCAACTTAGTAGTATGGAGGAAAAAAATGTAATTCAAATAAGAAAAGTAAGTAATGTTTTTCTGGTAGATTAAATGTCTGTAATTTAAGTGTGAATTTGTGTCCCATTATAGAAAACAAGAAAAATAGTGTGTTTTTCTTTTTTCAATTCTAAATTCAAGCAAGAGAAATTCATGTAGTAATTATTTTATTCTCTCTTTTTAAGATAGCAACTTACTTTTAATTAACATATTTTGAAGTTTTATTTTGTTAAAATATATAAGCATTTTTTACAAATGATTCATTAATCATTAGGTAACTCAAATACAAACCAAAATATACCTTCTATGAAAATAGCAGGAGTGTACATATTCTCTTTGCATGTCATTCCTTAGTTTAAGAAATAATATTGGCTAGGGACTATTGTAGATAAAACACTGAACAAAATGGACAAGTTTTTGTGCCAGGGACTATTGTAGATAAAACACTAAACAAAAATGGACAAGTCCTTGGTCCAATGGAATATATATTCCATATACACACAGGCTTGATGATCCCCAGTGCAGGGCATGCAGTATGCAGCCAATCACTGATTCTCTTTCATTATTGATATTTCTATCTCTCTCTCCCTTTCCCTTCTTCTCTGAAATAAATAAATATATATTTAAAAATATATATTAAAAATATATTTAAATATATATTTAAAAATATATTTAAATATATATTTAAAAATATATATTTAAAAATCTAATAAGCCAATCAATGAAAGAGAAACACCACATGACCTCACTCATTTGTGGGATAAAGAACATTATAAACTGATGAACGAAGAGACAGATATAGAGACAATAAAGCAACAGGCAGACTGTCAAACTACAGTGGGGAGGGGAGGAAGATCTGGGGGAGATAATAGATTAACCGAAGGACTTGTATATATCCCTATAAGTACAACCAATGGACATAAAACTCTGGGGAGGGAGGGTATGTATGGAAGGGAAGGAGGGGGGCAAAAAAAATCAATAAAATATATTAAAAAAATAAAAAATAAACACACACACACACACACACACACACACACACAAAATAAATAAAAATCTACAACCCAACCCATATTTCAATAACTTTAAATGCCAAAGTTTTTTGTACTATCATTAAGTATTTATTATCTTTTCTACATTTAATAATGAAATATAATAACTTAAAAACCTTATCCTGTGAAGGACTTATATTAGTAGAAATGATTGATTATTTTGAAGTCAGACAGACCTGGATCAAGTACTTGTTAACAGTGTGACCTTGGGCAGTTTCTTATATATGAATTTGTTTTTTTATATGTAAATTAGAGAATAAACTATATGACCTATTTATAGGAGTGATGTGAGGATCCATGTAATAATGAATATTGCATGGTTAATAATAATGCCATTAATAAGTATTAGCTATTG